AGTCAGGAAATCAAAAAGCGTATCGTGATGGGAAAGTCTGCTGTTAGGGACCTCTCTAAAGTACTCAGGAACAACGGTGTCTCTCTGGAGACGAAGGTGCACCTGATACAGGCCAGGGTCTTTGCAATCGCTTGTTATGCATCAGAGAGTTGGACGATGACTAGGAAGGACAGAAGGAGAGCAGATGCTTTTGAGCTGTGATGCTGGAGAAGAGTACTGAATGTACCATGGACTGCCAGGAAAACAAATTAAAGGCATTCATTCCCCTTGAGAAAAGGAACTAGGCAAGGATGCCCAGGATGCCCACTATCACCTCTCCTATTCAAAATTGTACTGGAAATCTTAGTGATAGCAATAAGGCAGGAGAAGGAAATAAGAGGTATCCAAATTGGCAAAGAGGAGGTAAAATTATCTCTACATGCAGACCATATGATAGTATACTTAGAAAACCCTAAAGACTCGGTAAGAAAACTACTGGATATAATTGACTAATTCAGCAAAGTGGTAGAATACAAGATCAACATACAAACATCAATAAGATTTCTCTACAGTGACAAAGAGAGTACATAGCTGAAGGTATGAAAAACAATACCCTTCACAATAGCTAAATACAAGATTAAATACCTGGGAGTAAATCTAGTCAGAAGCACAAAGGATCTACTAAAAGAATATTATAAAATATTACTACAAGAAATGAAAAAAGACCTGGAGAATTGGAAGAATATTCCTTTCTCATGGATAGGAAGACCGAATATTGTGGCAATTTACATGTTCAATGAAACCCCAATAAAAATACCAATTCCATTCTTCAACAAGATGGAAAAGTCAATCTCCAATTTCATTTGGAATGGAAAGAGTCCCCAGATAAGCAAAGCACTCCTTAAAAAGAGAAACAAGGTAGTAGGCATCTCACTTCCTGATTTTAAATCCTACTACTGCTGTGGTGGTAAAGATAGCATGGTACTGGTACAATGACAGACACATAGATCAATGGAATAGAATTGAGAACCCAGAAATCCACCCATCTACCTGTGGTCAACTGATTTTTGACAAGAAGATGAAATCAGTTAAGTGGGGAAACGACAGCCTTTTTAACAAATGGTGTTGGCAAAATTGGGAAACTATTTGTAGAAAACTCAAGCAAGATCCACATCTCACACCATACACAAAAACTGACTTAAAGTGGACCAAGGACTTAGTACTAAAACCAAGGACTATAAATTTAGTTAGAGAGAAGCTTGGAAGAGCTCTAGAAGTCTTAATCTACAATATAAACAGTCTTCTAAGCATCCTGAAAGACCTACCAGGAGATGATAAAATAGATGAATGGGGTCTTCTAAGAATCAAATCCCTATGAACATCCCAAAACTTCTCAAAAAACATAAAAAAGGAAAGCCACAGACTGGGAAAAAAATCTTTGGTAAATGACATGTCTGATAAGAGACTTATATCTAAAATTTATAGAATATTTGAGCACCATAACCCTATAAAGGTAAACCCAATTGCAAAATGGGCACAGGATATAAACAGACACTTCACCAAAGAAGACATTCAGATGGCCAAAAACACATGAAGAAATGTTCAAAATTCCTAGCTCTAAAAGAGATGCAAATCAAAACAACTATGAAGTGTTATCCCAGTAATGATAGCAAAATTTAACAACCTCAAACAACAAGCTCTAGTGAGGTTGCAGAAAAAATGGAACCCTTATTCACTGTTGGTGATAGTGTAAAATGGTGCAACCACAATGGAAGCCAGTATGGTGCTTTCTCAAGAAGTTGGAAATAGAAATAACATTTGACCCAATTATTCCACTATTGGGAATATACCCTAAAGAAACCAGAACTGCCACCCAAGCAGATATATGCTCATCTGTGTTTATTGTGTCCTTGTTCACAATAGCAAAATGATGGAAACAACCAAAGTGCCCATCAACAAATAGATAGAGAAACTGTGGTATATGCACATAATGGAATACTATGCTGCGTTGAAATGCAAGGAATTCATGAAATATTATACAAAATGGGTTACCCTGTAGGACTTTATGCTGAGTGAGATATCTTAATCACAAAAGGAAAAATACTGAATAGTGCCACTGTTGTAAAGTGGGACTGATATTGTGGTTTGGGGGGAAACCAAGAGGGAAAAAATAATGTATGGAAACAGATGAAGGGAAGAACTGTTAAGAGGAATATATAATTAGGTATTATTGGACAAGGGTCCAGAATGAAAGCTGCATAATGGAGTGGATTTGGGGCAAGGACTGTATAACAATGAAAGATTTTTTTTTAATTTTTCAAAGAGATAAGCAAACTGGCGGGGGAGTCGGGAGGACAGAGAGAGAGTTGGGCAGGGTGGAAAGTGTTCAGCAATGAATGAATGGAAATCGAAAGTCTCTGTAAACTTTCATTAAAATAAATTAAAAAAATGTTCAATGTGGAAAAAAAATTAGCTTTCCTATCCTCTGTGTTAACCCTCCATTGGTGATATAGTCTACAGTTGCCTGAACTGCATACACATGGTCTTGCAAATGATCAACAGCTGTGGAACCAATATAAGAGAGTGCTTGCCACACTGTGAAAGATGGTGCTGGAGAGAGGGAGAAGAGACTAGACAATATGGTGAAGAGACTGTGATACTTCTGTGAAGAGACTGTGGCAGGGTATAAACAGAAGAATCCTAGAGATGGAGCCCCAGTTAAAGATTTTTACTTGCTGGATGATTGACTTGTAGTTGCTCTGAGATAAAGTTTACTGATGACTGAGGAAATCAGAAGTTTATTTGTGCTGCTGAACTTAACCTAGACTTTCATTTGTTGACTGAACTAACTGAGGAATTTTCTTGCTGTTAATCTGGCTTGAGACTACTGGAATAAATTTGGTCTTGGATTGTATGATTCTCTTTGCCTCCCCCAATCCCCAACCTATTTCCTTAGTATACCCACAACTCTGAGTAAAACCAATGAGTGAAGTTGCCACAAACATTGGACCCAATGATTGGAAGAAATAGGTGTACTAGCATGTGGAGTGTCATGTCTAACCATGTAGACATAAATAGAGAACTACCAGAAATACAAGCTTGGATTAGAGGAGGGGACTAGGGACATCATAGTTAATGTTAGAATGCACAGAGTACCAGAGGAATTTATATGTCTCATTGATTATGCAAAGGCATTATATCAGGAAACAGGTGTCAAAAGAGACAAAAAAAATTGCGTAGTTTAAAATTAGGAAAGAAATGTGACAAGGATGTGTCCTATCTCCTTACCTTTTCAATGTATATGCAGGACAAATCCTTTGGGAGATTGGAGGAAAGTTCATTAACGACCTGTGTTATGCACATGACACAATCTTGCTCATGGAAACTGAGTAGGACCTGAAGCATTTGCTGCAAAATGTGAAGGACGGCAGTCTTCAGTATGGATTGAAATTCAACATCAAGAAGACAGTTTTTCACCACTGAGCTAATTGGTAGCCCATGACAGAGTGAGAAGAGATTGAGGTTAACAATTTCATCATGCAGTGACTTCACAATCAACACTCTTGTCACCTATAATCAGGAAATCAAAAGACAAACTGCACTGGGAAAATCTACTGTCAGGTGTTGCAAACCAGATGCAGAAAGAAAGTAGGGATATGAGGAAATAAATTCTGAAAAAGAGGGAAGCCTGGCCTGAGGCAGAGGTCTTCTCACAGCACTGTGAAAAGGCCCCTTTCTTAGTCTCCCTATGGTTTTTGATTAGTTTAAGCCAATCATCCTAAAAAAGTTCAATCTCCAAAGACTATTTTCCTTGTACTTAATGTTGCCAACATAACAATGGTTAAGTTTAATCTTTAAACTAAGACCAAAGTTCAAACAAGGCATACCTTTAGTGGGAGTCTAGACAGAATTCTCTGTTTGCAGAGGGCATTCAGTATCTCCTCTGGAGAGGGGGGGGGCTGGGCTGAAGTCTCTGCAGAGAGTGCTTAGTCCTGTCTAGGCTTTGATCTCAGCTGTGGCCTGACTAACACTATGCCGGGGAATCCACAGTCAGGGACCTCTCCAGAGTACTGAGAAGCAATGATATCAGTCTACAGACTAAAGTGTGTCTGATCCAGGCCATGGTCTTCTCATCAGAGAGCTGGAAAATGACAAAGACAGAAGAATCCATGACTTTGAATTGTTTTGCCCTCTAGTTCCTTGCTGGCTGCAGTTCCTTGTTCACAGATATGCACCCTGTGTATTGCATATATTTTTGCCTTTTTAAAAACTTCATGCAAATATATTCATAAGAATTTAATATATACAGATTAGATAGATGAATGAGTGAAGGACAGGTGGATTTATGGATCTCTTAGGAAATTTCGCAGAAATTTTCTGATAATGGAAACACTGTTGGTGACTAATCTGAAAGAGAGCTTTCTAAAGTTTCAGTATGAGAGGGTCAAATGTTACTGTTAAGTTCTGCACGTTGTCTGTACATGCAGAAGTTTTTTTAAAATTAATTTTAATGACAGTTTACAGAGACTTAGAGTTTCCAGTCATTTATTGTTGCACTTTTCTCCCTATCCACCCCTTCCCCCCCCAATTTACTCTTCTCCTTGAAAACAAAGAAAAACTCATTGTTATGCAGTCCCTCCCCCCAAGTCTACTCCACTAAGCAGCCTTCACTCTGGACTTCTGCAATGACAAGAATACCCATTCATATATCCCTTTTAAACAGTTATCTCCCTCATCTGTTTCAAGGCAATACACATCATTCCTCCCCTCCTTTTCTGCCTTCCCTCAACCCTAAGTTCTTTTTTTTTTCTTTTGAGTTTCCAATTGAGTTTCCATTATTCTTTGTTATAAATGGCATGTGTTGAATTTGAGCATGTCTGTTTTTTCTGTAGTTCAACAGGAAATCACAAAAGTTAATATTGTTATTCATAATGTGGGGGATTGTATGAGTTAGTTTTGCAATGAGTAAGTGTTCATCCTCACTACAGACTTAATTCTTGATGCATCGTTTTAAAAAATGTATTTCAAGACAGAGTTTATAAAGGTTTGTTGTCAGTGAGTGACCCTGTCGTATCATTTTTCTTATAACACCCCTAGGGATTTTAATATAGAGGCTATTCTACACTAGACATTATAGTTCTGCAGATTATTAAATTGGAGTCTCCAGTCGCTGTTTACACCTAACACGTGGGTATTTTTAACATGGGATTTGTTGTGTGTCCTGGGGGCTTTTGTGATTAACTTAAGGGCTTTGCATGAAGTGAGAATAATAAAAAGGAGCATGCAATAACAAATCATACAACACCTCCCTAACTTTACTAAGAGGATTATCAACGACATCAAGGCCAGGTAATAAGAGATGTTTAAAGAATCGGATGTCAAGAAACCTCTGCAGCATTAGAAAATTTGCAAATTCTTCTCTTGTGGTTAAATTATTCCCAATTATATTCTGAAGCACAAAAATAAAGCCCACTGCTATCAAGGCAATTCCCATGCATAGTGTTTCTATCAGATAGAGTAGAACCAGGTTTCAGGGCTTCCAAGACTGTAAATCTTTACAGACTTCCTGCCAGAGGCTGCTGAGTTTAAAGAGCTGATATCTGGATTAGCGACTAAGTGTTTTAGCCACTATAAGGCCAAGGCTCCTTCAAGTATAAGACTAGTAATAATAATTATACTAACATTATCAAGCATTTGAATGGAATTTCTAGTAATTTTGTATGACCAGAGCTTAGAATTTAAAATGAAAGTGTAACAGATCACCAGAGATAATATTTGTGGCAATTGCAGCTGGATATTCATATCAATGTATCTCTTCTCTTCCTTCAGGAAATAGAAAGCTGCTCTACTTGGTGCGATTTACAAGGCAGAATGTCTCCCAGTGTAAACAGCAGTTTCCTGAGCAGCAGCGCGCCCCCAGTGCAGCTCTGCTATGAGAACGTGAGCGGATCCTGTGTCAAATCTCCTTACTCGCCTGCGCCCCGCGTGATGCTGTACCTGGTATTCGGCTTAGGGGCTGCACTGGCCACATTTGGAAATCTCCTGGTGATGATTTCAGTCCTGCATTTCAAGCAGCTGCACTCTCCCACCAATTTCCTGGTCGCCTCCCTGGCCTGCACTGACTTTCTGGTGGGGGTGACAGTGATGCCCTTCAGCATGGTCAGAGCAGTGGAGAGCTGCTGGTACTTTGGGGAGACCTTTTGTACTTTTCACACGTGCTGTGATGTGGCGTTTTGCTACTCTTCTCTCTTCCACTTGTGCTTCATCTCCATCGACAGGTTCATTGCTTTTATTGACCCTCTGGTCTACCCTACCAAGTTCACGGTGTCTGTGTCAGGATTCTGCATCAGCATCTCCTGGATCCTGCCCATCGTCTATAGCGGAGCCGTGTTCTCCACAGGAGCCAATGATGATGGGCTGGAGGAATTATCTAGTGCCTTAAACTGCGTGGGTGGTTGTCAGGTAGTGATAAACCAAAACTGGGTGTTGGTAGACTTTCTGTTGTTTTTCATGCCTACTCTAGTTATGATCATTCTTTATAGTAAGATTTTCCTTGTGGCTAGAAAACAAGCCCAAAAGATTGAGACTACTAGTAGCAAAACCCAATCTTCATCTGGAACTTACAAAGCCAGAGTTACCAAAAGAGAGAGAAAAGCAGCTAAGACCCTGGGGATCACTGTGGTGGCCTTTCTGATTTCGTGGTTACCGTATATGATCGACTCATTTTTTGATACTTTTTTTGGTTTAATGACACCTCCCTATGTGAATGAAATATTATACTGGTTTGCTTATTACAACTCTGCTGTAAACCCTTTGATCTATGCTTTATTTTACCCTTGGTTTAGGAATGCAATCAGAATTATTATAACTGGCCAAATATACAAAGAGAGTTCCTCCACCACAAATTTATTTTCTAAAGAGAGTTAAAGTTGTAACAGTGAGATATCCAGACCTGTTGGAGACATGAGATACAGTTCCTGAATGTTGCTGTTCTTATTATATGCCCTTAAATTGGAGCCAACTCATAATTTACCCTCTTTAGGTTTTTAGAAATTATAAACTACATGGTAGTAGATGGCCTATCCTTCTTTCTAGGAGCAGATACTCATCAATAGTACATACTGAATTTAGGAAGAGGAATCTTGCATCATTTGCAATAATATAGGTTTTATGGCCTCAATTCTTTTATATAGTCAGCATCATTAATTAATTGCTGTAGTGATATTTACTAAATACTGTGGATTGGGCTCACAGATTCTCCTTTCCTCCCTCTTTGCCTCTTTCATGCTTTGTCAGGTGTTATTTTCTGCTTCTTGATTTGCTTTCATTCTTTATCCATTCTGTCCCTTTCAAAGAGTTCCTGGTTTCACATTCCCTGTGTGGTTCTTGCAGTCATTGTCTTTCTCCAGATAGGATTTACCTTGTTTTAGTTTTCAAGGGCATGTGTTCTTTTCATAAACCCTAGCAGTTGCCTGCACCATACCTTTCCGTCCTTTTTAACCCAGTAAAGGGCTCGTATTTTATGTTCTTGTTGGATACAATAAAGTTGATTACAGTTCATAAAGACCCTAGGAACAGCAGATCTGAACCCATTCCTATCCTGTGCCATCCTCATCATCTCTGACACACTTGAGCCCATTGCTGCACGAATTGTGTCAGTTCATCTCATTTCCAAGTCTGATGTTATTCTCCAAGGAAAAGTCTCTCTTAGCAAGATGTCTAAAGTATGTGAGATGGAACTTTTTTAGTCTTTATCCCCAAGAAGCACTCCAGCTGCACCTTCTCCAACTATTCTTTCTACAGTACCTGGGATAATTGGTACTCTTCTCCAAAACCAGAGTTCAAAGACACCAATTCTTCTTCTGTCATCCTTATCCATTGCCCAGCCCTTATATGCAGAGTAAGTGATTTAAAATGCCATGATCTGGAAAAGGCACACCTTATCCTCAAACTTCTGTCATTGATCCTCAATAATTTGGAGAGGTCCCTGACTGCAGACTTTCCCAGTGCAATACATCTCCTGATCTCCTGACTGTTGGTACCAAGTATATTGGTCACGAATCCAAGTAAGATGAAGTTGGTAACACTATCAATCTTCTCTCCATCTACCATGATGTTGCTTGCCTATTGGTCTAGTGATGAGCACTTTTGTGTGCTTAATGTTGAGATGCAATTCATACTGAAGGCTATAGCTTAATAATAAACAGGAGTAGAAGGCATACATTCTTCAGTAGTGACTTTCTCATTCCATGTTATTTACCAGTCATGATGTAAGACAAGGTTCTGTCTTTTTTTTTTTTAACAAACTAACAGATTTTCTATATCATTTCTAAAGTTTGTGGCAAAGTACCCAAAATTTACATAATGTTGATAATAAAAGTAATAAGGTATTTTAAAACCTGCAAATTAAAATAGCAAAGTAGATCAAAGTGACAAGAGAAATTCAATAGTTATATAGAAAATCCTTTGTGGGCAGTGAGTTTGTGTTAAGGAGGAAGAAATACTCAAAATAAGGTGAGAATATTTGTACAACCTGAGGCATGTAAACAATGTCACTAAATTTGTACATGTCAGATAGATGAATTTGGGTAATTTTTTTTCTGTGTATATTTTCAGCAACAATTAACAAATCCTTCAGGTTTCCAAGGCTGAGAATCTTTATGAGAGGATATTGTCTACCTTCCTTGTACACAATGGTGTATTCAAACTACATATTTTTTAAAAGATAAAATTTTATATGTAACACAGTGTGTCTGAATGTGTGTGGAATTAACTTTATAATTTATATATTCCTTTATAATTTAAACATTTTATGATAAATTTGTAATGTAAAATAAATATTATTCTTCAACATGTCTTTGAAATTAGGTTTAAACTGCTCAACTTGTTTCCTTGAATGATTAGATACTGTAGAACTCCAAACCATGGCAATCTCATATGCAGCGCAGTATAATCTACGTGGTTTTTAAGGCCTGAATTTTCAGAATTAAATTGCCAGGTTTTTATACTGAAGCACTCTGGGTGGATTTGAAGTTCTAACTTTTCTCTTAGGGAGCTCTGGTGGCCTGCAAGAAGCTGTGCTGCAATTCTGAAGGCATGCAGTTCAAGGTTACCAGCTGCTGCATGGAGGAAAGATGGACAATCTCCTCTCATGCAATTAAATGCCTTTGAAAACTCATCAGAGTGTCAGCTATGTGTCCAACTCGACAGTACAAAACAACAACCTTTCACTTAGCATCTAAATATTTTGTTCTTTGTTCCACCCAGGAACTCTATTAAGGTTATACATCTAATCCTTTTCAAGTCTTTGTACACTATGTCCTTTCTGGGTGGGTGCTCTTTCCATTTTTTTTTATAATCAACCACTCAGAAATACTGGTAATAGTCACCATCTTGGAAAAGTTTTCCATAAACTCTAGGATAAATGAATAATATTTGGTAGACTAGGGAGGACAGAAGGAGAGTTGATGCTTTTGAACTGTGGTGCTGGAGAAGAGTACTGAATGTACCATGGACTGCCAGGAAAACAAACAGATTCATCTTGGAGAGGATTAAACCAAGCTACTCCTTGGAGGCAAGGATTCTGGGGCTTCATCTGACATACTTTGGACATGTTGCCAGGAGGGACGGGTCCTTGGAGAGGGACATCATGCTTGGAAGGGTGGAGGGACAGCACAGGAGGGGAAAGACCCTCTATGAGATGGATTGATTCAGTGACTGGGGTAATCGGGATGGATGTGTCAGAGACAGTGCGGTTGGCACAGGATAGAGCCAGGTTTAGGGCTGTTGTGCATAGGGTCGCTATGAGTCGTAAACGACTCGACGGCACATAGCAACAACAACAACAACATATTTCTTCCAGTGTATTCTTTGTATGGTATTGTAGCACCCAACACTTCAGTCTATAATTATTTGCTCAAATATTCGTCTGTTCCACTGGAGTTGAGGGAGCAGAAGAAATATTATAGATAGGATTCCATGTACACAAAGATTTAATTAAAAGAAACGAATTGAATAGGAAGAAGAAAAAAGAATGACTGTCTTTTCCCAGAAGACAAGAATTTCTCTAAGACAAGAAATTGAATTAATAGCTTATTTGAGAGGTGAAGAAAACAATTGAATGAACAGAGAAAGTGATACAGGGAAGGAGAAGCAGCTAATATAAAGTTCCAGTATAAGAGGTATTTGTAATTTAATTGTATAAGAACAATTGGCATCATTCAGGGCAGAACACATACCTTAGAGTCATCCTGGAATGCCTGGGTAATGAAAATATATAACAGGCTCAGCTACAAATTCAAGTCCATGAATTGATGCCTCAGAAGCAAGGCCTGCTCAGATACATCCCCCAGGACCAGCCACTTAACACTGTGGAGGACAATTCTCTGATGCACATGGATTTGCCGCAAGTCAGGGCTAATTCAATGACACCTATTTTCTAGTCATCCTATTTGAACTGGCAAGGCACCAACTTCTGCCACTCATTAGGCACATGCCACATTTAACTAATAGTAAGAAAGCAGACATTAGAATGAAAGCAAAGATCACAGGCAAGACAATCCACATGAAGGCAGCTGGAAGTTAAACTAGCGTGCATTCAGCAGTTAGACTACATGATGTCAGAGCAGGAGTGTGCACTTAATAAACAATATCAATATTGCTAGATAAAGACTGTGTCAACACAAAGGAAATAGTAAACCAAAAGAAAAACAAAATTCAGAAAAAAAAATTTGGTAAAGTCTGGAGAATGACCAATGTCAGAAATTAATCTAATGTCACGGAGGAATTTCAAGTCATAGGAAGCTATCAGGTTTCTAAGCCTATAAAGCATTAAATGATGAAACTGCCCATTCATATCCATCACCTCCACCCTACCAGCTGTGTCTGCAGCTGGTAGATTCAAACCACGGACCTTTTATTTCATAGTCCAACTTGTTAAGCACTATGCCATCAGGGCTCCAATTCTATATATTACTATTACATCAGGTTTTCTATGCACTATTCCTCCAGACCTGTCTTTCCCACTTTGCTTCAGTTTTGTATTGAATTAGAAAATTTCATGGAACTTGAACTATTTGATAGTAATTCTACTCGTGTCCAGGGGTATTTTAGAAACTGAAAAAATAAAATCTTTTTTTCTCTTCTCTTGAGAAAAGAGGCGCAAAGAATTGATTTAATAAAATTTGCTTTAGTAATGTATTCTTCATCAATTTTAGGGCTGTTGTACATAGGGTCGCTATGAGTTGCAAGTGACTCGACAGCACATAACAACAACAACACCACAAGAGTAGAAACTAATCTTTTTACGCAGGAGTAGAAAGGCTACCTCTACCGATAAAAGTCAATCTGATTCTTATGGAGCTCGTCAGATGAAGTCCATGCATAAACTTACCTTTTGTGGTTTTTTTTTTTATTTCTAAAAATATATTTGCAATGAATAGTTTTGAATTTGCAAAATTCAATCCAGCTTCACTTCTCTCACCAAGACCATTAAAAACATAGTCTCATTGATTGGTTAGAAATATTTATTATTTGTATCTCACAAAAGACTTGTATTCCTTTAGTCAGAATGAAGGTTTACAATCTGATTTAAAATGGGAAAAATATTTGATTGGCTAGTTTACTAAAGAAAGTACACGAATGACCAATAATAATGTGAAATATGATTAACAAGTATTTTAATATGTTGTTGTTAAACGAATGACTTGAACACTTGCATAACTTTCTTCTTTTCTCCAAGTTCATAGGGTTACCAGAGGCAAGCTATTCCGGAAGTGGATGCCACTCCTGCTTCCAAGCTTGTTTTAATCGGGGAGCTCCACCAAACACTGTCTGCCATGGGTGACCAATATCTCATAAAACCCACTCACAACAGGCTAGCCTTCAGCCTGAAGGTGAAGCCAAGCATTTCAGCATTTAAAAATTGC